TAGTGGCCCACTTAGTGCTTGGCACTGGAACATAGGGACATGGGATGTAGAAATCCTAGTTGTAACACTGGAAGCATATTAGTAACATTGAGCGCAAACTGATGTAGTGTATTGGTCTCGGTGCAGGACTAGGATTCTGGGAGACCAGGTTTCATTTAACTTTTGAAATCAGACACAGTCAGTATGTTCAGAGTGGTGTGATGGTCCATTCATAGCTTGTAGCTTCTACACTTATTAATGCTGTTGTTTCTGTGGCTTGTTGGGTCTTGCTGATGATCAGAGACAATTTCACACATGGCTCTGTCAAACTTCCACCTGTCTGTCTCCAGTGACGTCTACTTGGGACTCAACTGTGAGCTTTTATTAGTTAAGGAGCACCACAGTGAACATGTCTTGCACTGTGAAGGTCATGAAACAGCCCCAGAATGAGTTCAACCATTTTGGAGTAGGTATCTCCTAGGAAAAAACATCACAAGGAGACCAGACAGTGCTGCGGAAGATGCACTCTTCAGCAATTTATGATGAGTGAAGAGTCCCAAATATCACGATGGCCCACTGTCAAGATCAAGAGCCTCAATGACTTTGATTCTTTTGGCACAATGTGTTGGATCCGGGTAGCTTATTCAATTTGCACGGTGACCTGCTGCATGAGGAAGGGGGGTGTCAAGTGTCCTCCGATCTTTATCGGGCCACCGTTCTCCTCATTCTTTTTACATGACAGCTTTTGTGTGCTTAGTGGAGAGCGCCCACTCTAAGCATAGGGACAAGGTGTGGCTGATGAGTCCCCGATAAGGCACCACACAAAACAGCTACTGTGTGGCTGAATGGGTTTCCAATGTAGCTGTTTAATTTCATCTCTTGGAGATGTTTCTCTTCTTTTCATGCCGCTGCCTTTATCGGAGCTCCCGATCTCAGCAAAGCGGCAGCCTTTCAAATTGAACAAACTGTGTTTCAAATAGGCTCTTCTGCTTGTGACAAGATGTACCTCATTTTCTCTGCAAGCCTTCAGCAAGGTCACACCTTTTTAATTTATTTTCTGCAAGGGGGGAAAATGGGGCGGTGGGGGAGAGAAGGAGAACACATGCGAGAACCTACTTGCATGATAGGACAAGGGCCGGATGTAGCTAGAGGTCATTCCTTGAGCGAAACATAAAGCAGGAGAGGATTTAGAATTGCTTCCTATCATCGACTTCACCTAGCTAAATTCTTTCAAAAATTAGGTTCTTAAGTGCACCAACTATCTTTAACAGTGGCTTCGAAATGGCTGACACTTCCCCTGAGTGCAGTACTTGTGTGTTCGATGCTTAATGCAATAATTGGCAAAAGGACCCATGGGTTTTGGCTGTAAGAGCTAAAGGTGTTTCTTCCATGGATCCCAAAGGCTGAGAGGTGTTTCCTATAATGAGCATTAAAGTTTCTTCCCCATTACCCAGATATAGCACTTTGATACCACTTTAAATGGCCTTGATGCAACCTACAACAATTTGGGATTTGCTTTTGGTGAGGCACTGGAATTCCCTGGCTGAAAAATGTAATTTTCTCCTGGAACAATTTATTCTTCATTTATTATTAAAAATGTATATCCTGCCTTATACTACAAGATCCATGGATGGTGAGCAAGTAAAATTAGTATTTAAAACAGCAGTCTAGTGGCATAGAAAAGGGTTAATTTGTACTTAATAGGCCCTTCTAGTTTCACTTTAGCTTAGCAATTCAAGGCTGGAGAATAAAAAGATCCTCATGGCTGCATCCACATTGCAGAATGAAGGCAGTTTGACCCTGCTTTAACTGTCATGGCTCAATCTATGGAATTTGGGGACTGGAATTTTGTGAGATATTCAGCCTTCTGTGTCAAGAGTTTGTTGTGGTTCCACAACAAACTACAAATCCCAGGATTCCAAAGGATCCTGAGATTGACAGTTAAAGCGGTATTAGTCTACATTCATTCTGCAGTTTGGCAACAAGCTGAAAGAGTAGCCACAATAGCCTCCAACATTTCACAAATGAAAACTAGGCTGCATGTGGCCAAGCAACAACAGAACATGGTCAAGATGGCAAAAATAGTGCCATATATACCAATAGCACTAAGTAAATAAATAATAGTTCTGCCAATGGAACTATACCACCATACCCAGTGATGTAGACTCAAGTCAATTGACTCAGACTAAAGTCACTTCATTAACTCGACCTGGACTTGACTCGGCAATAAATGACACACTGACACACTGGCTCGACACAACTCGACTTGCAAGTTGTATATTTTTAGTGCCCAACTTGTTGGCATCATTCACTTAGGTAGACAGCAGACTGCCCCGAAAGAGCGGCTCAGTGCCACCCCTGAGAATACTAGATCAGGGCCATGGCAACTGCACACCGCGGCCTCAATCCAGCGCTTTGCCAGTCCAAAAAGGGCTAGCAAAATGCCACTTCTTTTTAAGGTGGCAAAAAGGTGTCTTTGCTGTCATGGCAGTGGTTTTTCGGAGATTCTTCGGCGCAATGTGTCTAAACACTGTGCCAAAGATACTCCCTTTCACCACCCGCAGTGCAGTCAGGTGGGCAGTGTGACACCAGCATAGGGATGGCATTGAGGTGTGTGCCATGTGGATGTCATGCCCCATTAAATGCCAGTCTGTTTATCTCCTTAGAGCATCTGGCAAGACCCACCGTCAGAACATGAGACATATGTCTTGGAGGAGAACATCAAATATACTAGGCAATGGTCTTCATCTTTCTAAATCTGTAAATAGCTGCTCTGATGTGCAGCAGGGATAAGCCGTCCCCCACCACAAGCCTATTGCCCAACTTAGGGGGGGGGGTTGCAGACTGCCAGAAATAGTGTAAATTGAGTCCACTTTTAGGGTTAGGGTTAGTGCTAGGTAATCATGGGAATTGTTTTTTTCTGAGACATTGAGCCTTCTCTGTCAGAGAGCTCTGGTGCCACAATAAAATACAGTTCCCATGATTCCCTAACCCTAGCCCTAACTCTAAAAGTGGACTCAATTTACACTATTTCTGGCAGTCTGCAACCCCCCATACTTGTTGTTCACTTTAAGGACCTTATCACACGCTGGCCATGAAGTGAAAAGTAACCGAAATAAGAATAAATTCAGTTCTATACCGAAATGAACTGAAAGAGCTCCCCGCAATATGTAAATGCCTACCACACGCAATTACCACCATAGCGCAATTATCGCGCTTCCCGGGACACGCATCCTGGAAACGTATTCTCCGTGCACACACAAGTTAGAAAATCCCATAAATTACAAAGAGAGGACCATGTTTACCCGTCCCATTTGTTGCCCAATCCAAACAGAACGGACACGTCATAAGATGCTTCCTCACAGATCCATGGGAAGTAGCGCGGGGAACCATGGGTCAGGGCGGGGAAATGCTTCACAATACGTATTGCGTGATCATATGTATTTCGCCTGTGCAGCCATTGCGCAATGTATCCTGCCTTTTTTTTTCTCCCTGTTAAAAGTTGTCTCTCAGACTTCAGACTCGATTTGAGACTCGTCTTGAAAATATCTTGCAAGGACTTAGACTCAGTTTGAGACTTAAAGGTAGAGAGACTTGAAACTTGACTTGAGATTTGGAGTCAAAGACTTCAATACGTGACTGATGATACCTCTCCTCTCAATCCCCCAGACTCATCTTTTACCTTCTACACATAGTACATGGCCATTCAATGGCTGGTAGAGAGTGGAGAGAATAAAATTTGGAGATGCATCTTGGTGTGTCCTCATACCGAGGTGCAGACTGATGGCATCATCTGCTGAGATCCATTGAGGTCCTGTGGAGGACTCAGTGGATGATGTCTGGGGAGATAGCCAGATACTTCTTCAACACTAACCTCCACCATGCTTCAGCAGCCAGTGAATAGCCAGAGGGAGGCAGTAAAAGCAAAATGGCAAGTCCAGGAGGGGGGCTTTGGTTGTTTCAGAGGAAGAAAGAGTATACCAAGCTCTGACATGACCATTAAAATGGCATACACAAGGAGACGTTTAACTTTATGCCTGAATATATCAGCAACAGGATGCCACCCTTAATCACTTCCCCTTCTTGGTCCTTATGGGCAGCAATCCTGGGTTTGGGTTCCATGTGAACTTTCAATCCAGCCTCCTTCTATTCTCTTCCTTTCCAGGAGGATAAAAATATTTTAGCATGCTGCAGAGGAACTTGTCTGCAACTTCTCTATTGTGTATTCAGTGTTTATGAGATGCCTATTAGTGTGGAAGGTTTTTTTTTTCTTCCCCCTCTGAGGTTGTGAAAGTTGTTTTAATGAGAAGCAGCTTAAAGGCCTTAACCATTTTTATGATTTAGCTAGTTCAATGAAATTGCTCTTAATTGCCCTGTACAGTGTATAAAACTGTCAAAGAGATTTAAAAAAAAGAAAAAAAGAAAAAAGTGTGGGGAGGGGGAGAGCAATGAAGCCAATGTCATCTTCATGGAAGCAATAATAATTTCATAAAAAAAAATAACACTATTGGTATGCTTTCTTCCGATCTGCTGCCTGTTGGAAGGCACGTTTTGAAGTGTAAATATTTATTTGGGAAGCTCTTGAATTTCAAAAGTTTTTTCACAAAGGGAATCTGTCCTCAATCCATTTCAAATGCTGTGTCTTCTTTTTCTTCCTATTTAAAGGAAAGTGAATGCAGTTGAAAGAATGGATTGAAAGGGGATGTCCTCTAGTTATTCTTCCTGAGCCAGTGTGGGACTTTAAGTAATGCCAAAGCAGACTTTCACATATATATGTAAGCAGAGTAAAACTATAGAGATGCACAGTGGGTGCACACATGTCAGATCCAAACTCTGGAAGTGCATTCCAATGATATAGTTTACCAATATGAATCAGTTTTACCAGTATGACCCATCCCATATAATCCTCAGATTTCTAGTTTGCTGAGGGGCTTTGAATCCTGAGATGAGGGCTCTAGTAGTGTAGTGTTCTCTAACACATAATTCCTCTAAGTACCCCCCCCCCAAAAAAAACCCAGAAAGTCAGTGTGGTGTAATGGTCTGAGTGCTGGACTATGACTCTGGAGACCAGGGTTCAATTCCCCACTGGACCATGAAACTCATTTGGGTGGACTTGGGCAAGTCACATGCTCTCAGCCTCAGAGGATGACAATGGCAAACCTCCTATGAACAAACCTTGCCAAGAAAAAAACATGATAGGGTTGTGTTAGGATTATCTTAAGTTGAAAATGATTTGAAGGCACACAACAACAACAACAACAACAACAACAACAACAACAACAACAACCTTCCTCAAATTACACATCTCAGTATGCCATCCCTTGTAGCCAGGGCAATTAAAGTGATATTAAACTGTTGTACCTGTGTCATGTAGATACACTTGGGCATACTACTACTGAAAAACACTTACTAGTACTTTATCATGCCAGGTCATTCATCAATTGCAGAACAGGCTATGTTTTAGGGCAGGCTGCATTGTAGTGCTGAATTTTGGAGTGCAGGTACTCTTTTGGACAGTTCCTACAGCCATACTCAAAAGGAGAGTTCACAAACAAAGGCAGGTGGGTTGTACAACACAAATAAACCAGGTTTAGCAGTTTTCACTTCTGCATGGAATGGTCTTTTCTAATGGGTCTTGGTAACACATTTGAGACCAAAGTACAGTATCCAGCAAATTCTTTAAATTATAATTGAGAAAAGTTACACTAATATACTGTTCCTGGTAAATTCATCCCATTCCCACTCCAGCTTCTCTGATCATTGCAGGAACATGGTACCTGGAAACGGATGGATGATTAGGTCATCTTTTCTTCTAATCCAAGAGTTTCACTCTTTTAAATTGTGCAAGCAATGGATCCATCTTACCTCTGATTCTGAATGGCAATAGCTCCCTGGAACATATTTCCCAAATACCTGCTCCCTGGAACCTTTTAAGAGGAGATGCCAGGGATTAAAACCACTGAGCTACACTACACTAACCATTGACCACTTGAGTCTTCCCAAATATTATGCCTCTGGACCATCCTTGTTTCCCATGGACGGATCTACAACAAGCATGCCACCCACCAATTGACTGTGTTTGGTGATTAAACTGCTTCCACAGAACTTGACCCTCTTATTCTCTTCCTCCGCCCCTTTCAATTTTATTTCCAAGACATTCTGATTATTATATCTTGGCTATCATCCAATCTTTTCATGCAGGCTTCAGTGGCAAGGAAATTAAAACTACAAGAACATTGTTAAGTGGCAAAATCTTCCGATGTCAGCTCCAGCGCGCTGGATCTCTGGCATACCAGCTGTCTCTTTGTGCAGCTCCATACGGGACATTGCTGTTTTCTTTAAGGAACCTATAAGAATGTTTATGTTGTTCATTAATCCAATGCAATTAATATTATTAGCACGTAGGACACATTCTCCAGAAGGTTATTATGTTAATGAATAGAGTAGTGCATGCGTGTGTTCGTAAAAGCAATTAATCGCCTACCTTATGTGATTAAAAAAAGGTGTTCTCCTCCTATGGCCATATAACCTTCGGTGTATAATTTTATACACCCCATAAATCCTTCCTCTTCATTGCTTGCTTTTAATAGATTATAAGGTTGTTGTTTTTTAAAAAAATATGCAACCTGCTTCCTGTGTGTATATCTTCAGGCTTTGTAATGGAGCTTATGTACAATTTTTTTTATTTCTTTGTATGTATGTATGTATGTATATATATATATATATATATATATATATATATATATATACTTGTTCTCACAAAATCCAGTCAATGGCCAGGGAATTGTTTTTAGGAAACTCTTTCCCTTTTACTCTGAAACAATTTATTGTAACGTATTACTCTGAAAAGGTCAGTGTAATGTAGAGATTAGAGCATTGGACTGGGACATGGGAGATCCTGGTTAGGTCTCTATGGAGCCACGGGTTGACCTTGCACCAGTCATTATGTCTCATGGAATTCTGGGATTTGTAGTTTTGTGTGATATTTAGCCTTCTCTGTCAGAATGCTCTGGCTCCACAATAAATCTCACAGGATTTTTGTGAGATAAAGCAAAGTACAGGTTGCGCCTCCCTTATCCAGAATGCTGAAATCTGAAATATTCCAAAAACCAAAAAAAAGTCCACTTGGATTGTTGAGACAGTGACACTTTTGCATTCTGATGGTTCAATGTACAGAATTTTTTTTCATGCACAAAACTATTTAAAAATATTTGGGTATTACCTTCAGGCTATGTGTATAAGCTATATATGAAACAGAAATGAATTTCATGTTTAGACTTGGATCCCATCTCCAAGATATCTTATTATGCATATGCAAATATTCCAAAATCCAAAAAAGCAAACAACAACAACAGCAACAACAACAACAACTGAAATTCAGAACTCTTTCAGTCCCCAGCATTTTGGATAAGGGAGATTCAATGTGTAGAAGGAAAGCCTTGAGGTCATTGGAGGAAAGGCATGATATAAATTTAAATACTCAATTATCAATCAATATTCCTATATATGGTTAGTAATGCTAGTCTACCTCACAGGCCTGTTAAAGGCTTTCCATGTGAATATAAGTCAAGTACTATAAATATCTACATTTTATTCTGTAAGTGTTAAATATTAGCATTGTACAGCATGGTTTGAAAGCAGTCTGGGCCCTTGTGGAGGTTGCTCTATACATGCAAGTTAGCCTTTGCTATTAAAGCTGAGGTTGCCAGATCTCAGGGTCCCACCCTGAGTCTTCCATTGTTATGGGTCAGCTCCAAGCACAGCCTTGGCTACGCACATTTTTGTGGAGTCACTTGCTAGCAAAAGACAAGAGATAAGTGTAAACCTCTGACAAATCTAGTTTTCTTTCAGCCATGTGCCTGCTTGCCTTCCTCTTCTGTCCTCTGTTAAAAGTAGAAGGAGGAAGAGGAGTTCTCTAGTCTTCTAGATGTCCATGCCTCCTGCTGCAACTTGCAAGTTTTATTTGATTTCTATTTTTAAATGTCAAATTTGGTGCAATTTGTAAGCTATCTTTCTTTTATTATGAAAAGAAATGTTCCTTATTCAGTCTCCCTGTGCAGGTGGGAAGGAATTATCCTCCTTGATCTGAGAACATTCCCTTTAGCTACGATTTCTGTCATATTTCTAATCAGGAAAATATATTCTCTCTGTGTGTCATTGTGTTTGAATGACAAGCTGTGAGCAACCTATAGTTGCTGGCTAATGCATCATGCATAATGCATAATGGCTTCACCAAGATCCTCCCCATGACATCATGAAGGAGCCATCTCTAGCTCTGAAAATTTCAGGGTTTAGGATGATCCTGACCTTGCAATATTTCAGGGTTTAGGATGATCCTGACCTTGCAGTATTTGAAGCCATCAGTCAGCCAGTTCCTGTGTATCAACTTGCATCAAATTTTCTCTTCTTCAGTCAAAATGAAAATTGCATTTCAGAACATTTGACAATGTGGTGCATCCCACCTACCAGTTTCAGAAGGTGTCGCAGTTGGCTGTTTTGTTCTGGCAAAAGCATGTGTGAATTTTTAGTTGCATTTTTGTGTGTGTTGTTTAATGAATTAGTGAACACATCTGCCATTAGAAATACAACAACACAGATTAGTGCTGACAGGGATTAATTGGCAAATGTTCAAACGGGTGGGTAATGAATGCATTCTCCACATTTTATGCAGTTCAACCTACTTTTCCTTCACACTACAGAGAGCCCATCATTAGATGCGCAGTCATTAGGCGCTTCTTCTGGATGTGGGTCAGTCCACCGACAGGTGTTCTTGCCAGGATTTCTTAATTGCTGCCCTTAATTCATTGTCATGGCAAGTCTAAATATCATCCTAGCTATGTGGTTTCCAAGAACTTGCGAGAAGAGAGTGAGAAAGGTGGAGAATGGAGGACAATCCCACTTGAGGGCATTTGGTAAGGTTCCTTCCCTGCTGTGCATACAAAACCTTTGCACATACAAGCTGGACACCAAGCGTGGATAACGTACTACCTATGAGCCACATGTGGACTGGAGAGTTACCCCATTTTTAGTATAAAAAAAATATTTGCTGCTCCTGGAAGCTTCCAAAAGCAGTAATTTTGCATTTGTTTCATTACAAGAATATAGCATATGGGAAGAGTCCCACAGGCAGAACTTTGCTATGGCTACTTTCTCATTACCCCAGGACTCATGGTTTTGCTGTGAAAGCCCCTTTGAATGGTCATCCCATGGCTGATGGAGAGTAGGAAAGGATAGGAGAAGCATCTGACTCTGCCCCATAGTTAGGTGTGGGCTGACAACATCTTCCAGTGAAAACTATTGGGGAGGGGGCAGCAAAACAACAAAACTGTCACTCCAAGAGGAAGCTTTGGTCATTATGGAAAGTCAAGCAGAATACTAGCCTTCACAATGACCAAATCCTGTTGTTAATCCTAATTAGAGCAGATCCATTAATCAATTGGATTTACCTGCATGCTCATTCTCATTCAACAATCAGTTGAATGGGTCTACTCTAGTTGGGACTAACAGGAAGCCAGCATGGGCTGTCAGATAGCCTAAACCCTATATATATAAAGCTTTGTTATGGTGGTGGTGTGCCTTCCAATTTACAGAGAATTTAAGGAGAAACTATCAAGAGGGTTGCTGGGGCTGAGAGTATGTGACTCTCCCAAGGTTTGGTTTCCCTGGTTGAGCAGACAATTGAATTCTGATCTCTAGTCAGAACACTCAAGCACTACGCCATACTAGCTCTGTATAAAATTTCACATAACATAACAATCCTCCTGCCAGAAGCTATAGTTATCTACTGGTCACTGGTACTGTTGCCCCTGGGCTGCAAGGTCCATGTCAAGCAGGAACAGGGCCACTAGTCATCAATGAGACCCTTGCAAATTTACCAGCAAAGACAGACCTGAGTGTTGGCCCTACATGGGGTGGTCAATATTTTTTTAAAGTTCTAAATATATCTTTCTGAAATTTGAACAGAATTTCCTGCCATGTATATAACATGGGCATTGACATTTTTAAACACCATTAAAAAAAAACAAAAAAACAAAAAA